TCGCGCCGCGAGAGCTTCTCGACGTGGTTGGTGGCGAGTTCGAGGAGGTGGGCGATGCTGGGGGTGATTTCGTCGAGGAGGGATTGCTGCGCTTCGCGGAGGGTGGGTTCGGGGAGGAGTTCGAAGTGCTGGCCTCCAAGTTAGTGGTTTGATGGGGTTGTGGAGAAAGGTGGTGCGATACGTTACGTACTCGGGTGGTTTGGAGGACTTTGGAGAGGCGGGGAAAGTCGCTGACTCCGGCGTCGAGGGTGGAGATGGAGGAGTCGAGGAGTTGGAGGGAGGATTGCAGGGAGGAGACGGAGAGTTGGAGGTGTTCTGCCATGCTTTGTGACTGATTCTTGGGCGATTGTATGATCAATGTGCAGATGCAGATATAGTGTCTGGACGTTGTTATCGATTGTAGTGCCGTGCCGGGGCACTGTTTACATTGTCGGGAGTCGGGAGAGGAGGGGACAAAAGCGGCGGGGAAACTATCCCCCTTTGGGTCTCGGACCTCCGGACAAACCTCGTTGCATCCGGAACCTCCCTCGTTCCGCCTCGCTCTCCTTCTACCTCACCAGCTGCTGCTTCTTCCCTATCCTCTCTCTCCACATCCAGCACCTCGCTTCCACACAACTTGCTTCACCATGTCTCTCCTCGGAAAGAAGTTCCCCACCCCCGTTGGTGAGTTTCTGCTTGATCCCGAGTGCTCTTGCCCGGGGTGTTCCCCCACCGTGGTGGCATGAGTAATAAAGCATGGAATTGAAACTGACTTGGACGCATTGTAGCCGGTCCCCTCGGCCCCTTCTTCGCTGCCGGTATGCACTTATAACCTATTCTTTCAACTTGCAACGCTGCTTCCTTCGGCGCAGAGCCGAAATGACGCGACGAAATGTGATGGGTCCCAGGTTTAACATGCAATTACTTACAGGTCTCGTCGTCCTCTATGGCGTTAACTCCCTCCAGAACGCCCTGATGAACAGTAAGTTGCTTTTCGGGCCGCGCCACACACCGTCTTTTTCTTCCTTTGTGATCTACCGAGGGGAGAGAAAGACTCCGCCGACGCGATCGCTTCTCTCGCACACATCGGCCAAACCCAATAACTAATTCGATCCTTTTGCTCTACAGCCGCCGAGTTCAAGAACGACCCCCGCAACCCCAACGCCAAGGCCACCAAGCACTAGACGTTTTGTTATCTTTCCGGAGAGACAAAGCTGATATGGCGGACGTCATCAAGGGTTGATTTGAGCGCGGGCATGATTCCGTTATTGGTGTCGAGTTTGCATGCCACTTTTTTCACGCCCTGTACAAGCATATAGAAGAGATACCGTCATAGGACATATTGGTGAATCGACAAGTTGTATCAGTATCAGTATGTTTTCTTTCAAGCTTGGGCTTTTGAGTTTGGAGTGCGCCGGGTGCGAGCTCAAGTGTGCTCTGAGAGGTATTCGTCGTTGTCTGCCCAGGGTGCTAGTCAGGGCCAGTGATGGAGCATGCCACGGGTCTATCGTGGTTTCTAGTCTCGAATTCAATAGTCGGCCGGGCATTGTCCGCATATCGTACATGTAGTTCGTGAGTAGAGGTGTGTTGACAGGCCTTTGTAATCAGCCTATCAGATTTCCTCAGTATATCTCGCGCAATGAACAATACTACAATGTTTCCTAATATAATCAATGGAATTGTGCTATGGATCATAGCGTGTTTTCCACCGAGCTTGCGATATGCATGTTGCGGAGCGCAAATGTCAATGTGATAGTGCACTAAACTCGATCGGGAAGGCACATTTTCCCCATCCCGTGACTTTCGCCGCTCCGGCCAAACTCCCGTGGTTATCGGAACTCATTCAACAAATTCCCAGATCCAATCCGACCTCGAAACCCCAGTCGCTTGCCCCCCGGCACTATAATTCCACCATGTCCATGTTCAGGAACAAGAAGCTCGACCTCGGCGGCTTCATCAACGGCAAGATCATCCGTGACCACACCAAGCGGAGAGTCTTCGAGGCGAACGAAGTCGAACGGTATGAAGCCCTACTGCACTCACTACCCTCTCGCCGACCGGCCTCGTCAGGCTAGACTTGCGCCCTCATTTCCCTTCTGAATCCGATCTGGAAATTTACCAATCGCTAATGCATCTCCCGCTGTATAGTCAAGCTCTCCGCTATGTGATCCGCAACACCACTCTCCCCCAGCGTGCCCGTGCTCAGGCGCAATTGCAGCTGGCCCAGATGCACGCTTACACCCGGTCCACCCAGATCAGGAACCGCTGTGTAGCGGGTGGTGTCGCCCGATCCGTCTTCCGGGACTTCCGACTTGGAAGAGTGAGCTCCCCTTTTTTTTTATTTCGGCAGAAGGCATAGAGTTAGCTAACGGGAGGGGAACTTTTCTCGTCTGGCAGTACCAATTCCGTGAACAAGCGTTGGCCGGCGAGCTTCCCGGCGTGAGAAAGGCCAGTTGGTAGACTCGGTGTTGTTTGTGTGGTCGTCTGCGACACCCTCCCGGTTTCTATGTGCATTTGACAAGCTTCTCTGGGTTGGTTCGGTGCTTTCCTTGATGGCGTTTTCTTTTTGTGTGTGTTCCTTCTTCCCGATCTTCCCTGGGGAAGGAGATGTACTATATGTTATGATGGGTATTGATCGAGAATATAAAACCAGCGATCTTTATGAGAATTTGAAATGGTGACTGCTGAGGGGGGTGGGTAGAATTGGTGCACTTTGGGGGGCATGTGCTTGCTTCTTTCTGGTGAAGAATACCTTGGAATCTGATGGCTGTCGGAGTTGGGTCTGTCTGTTCTAGCATCGTTGGGGTCTTGCAGCTGAAGACCGCCGGAGTGCATTTCTCACTTCATGTCTAGTGTACATGAGACATGAGACCAGGACTATTGGCAGAGAATCCGGAACTTCATGAACGGTGACCTGCTCCGTTCCTTGAGAGCACACAGCCTGAAGCAGCTTTGAGGTTGCTACTGACCGGACTCTCGCCTTCCCATTCACTGCTCACAGCAAACGGAGCTTCAGTTCTGGATTCACAGCGGGAAGCTGCATCTCAGCATCAACTTTCCCCAATCCACCGCTTGTCTTCCACTGTCCTCTATCTCTTTGCCTCTTGTCCTGTCTCACTTCTGTTTCACAGCAATAACAACTACTTGAAGATGTTCGTCTACCGCCGCGAAGATCTTCCTGCGGACCCGGTGTTTCCAGCGGACCTGACAAAACTGGGGTAACTCTCATAGCATATCCCATCACAGAGTATTCATCATGCTGAGAAAGGAATACAGGTACTTCGTGACCGATCAGGACCAGATCCGCAAGGTCTCGGACCCAACACAGGAATTCCAGTACAAGATCAACCGCAACGGCCGCTGGAATGATGTCCAGAGAGAAGCTATGAACGGTAAGTCTGACTAGCTATCTGCACCAATCCCTCGAACTACTCCTGCTCTGCCCCTGCTCTGTCCCTTCTCTACTCTAACAGTCTTGCTTGCTTCACCAAGAATGCATCCGCAAGATCGTCAGCTCCCGCCTGCGCGACCTCGGCCTCGTCAATCTCCACCTCCCGCTCCGTGCCAAAACCAAGGAGGCCCATGTCCCGATCATGGTGTCGAGGAACCTGTCCACTGCCTCGCACATCATCGCGGTGTTCGGCGAGCCCATCCAGGACCTGGGCATCTGGGCCTACCGCAGCGTTGGCTGTGACGGGGTTGACGCCGGCTCCCTCGTGTCCTTTGCGAGGGCCGTGCTGCGTCAGGGCCAGGCTGATAGCAATAGTGGCAGTGGTGACAGTGACAGTGATGATTCACCAACAAACATGCCCAACACCGCGCTGGTGCTGGCCAACACCGGCCAACTCGTCTGGCACTGTGCCTCCGGTCAAGCGATCACGCTGTTCCGTTGGCAGCACATGCCCCGTGCCTCGGCCGTGGACCCGCCCCCCGAGATGTCGCCCCGCAACCAGATCCCCGGCCACGAGTACTGGCAGAGACATGTCAACCGTGTGTTCGAGGACATCCTGTCCGCGCGGGGTCGGCTGGTGCGCCCGGATGCGCGAATCAGTGTTGTGGGGGCCTCGGAGGGCGGGCTGGGTGCGCTTCGGTACTTGAATAGGAACTGTGAGTGTTTACCGTATCTTACTGGTTGTCCGTTCCTGGTGATGGTTGAAGCGACAATACTGACGTACGATGAAACAGGGAGCTCCTGGAGACCATTCATCTCGGCGATCTGTCTCGCCAACCCTCTTCAGATGGCCAGGATTGAGTTTGGAAGCGACTACGAGAATGCCGCCCTGGCGGATCCGACCTCCTTCGCGGCCTTTGTGGCGTCACGCTGTCGCGGATATCTGCTGTCGGATCAGCCGCTGGGGGTCCCGGTCGAGGCGATGCTTGATAGTGGGTGTAATTGCTACGCCTCGGGCGAGGCATTGAACTCGGAGTGCATCATGCCGAAGGCGTGGAGACATGCGCTGCGGTGGCTGGATCAGGCTTTTGCGGACCCGGCTTACGGAGAGGCGAGGTTGGAGATTATGCACGTTGACGGTGATGAGCTGGAGGGTGCGGTGGATGCTGAGGTAGACGAAGAGGGAAGGCGCTTCTAGGTTGAGCTGTCTACTTTGTTCTTGTGGTTCAGCCTTTTCGGTGGACGAGCACGCTTGCTTAAACTTGACATACTTGTCTTGTAGCATAGATAGCTTCAATGGTCATTCCGGATCTCTACTAGGAGTCATGAGCGAGGTTAGTAGTATGTCGAGGTTTAGACACTACCTAGTAGCTCTAATCCATTGCCCAATTCGGCTATGTTTCCTGAATGGTTAGAGCACGAGGCAAGACCACAATCTGGCCAGAAGTGTCTTCGAGACTACAGCGACTTAGCCCTTTTGATATCCACAGCGTCTTCAAGAATTGACGTATACACTACCCATGAGCTATAATGCCGACAAAGTACACCGAAACTACCCACACACATACCAACAAAACTTATAATGCTACATTGATCGTTATAATCATACAAGTGATAACCACAGTACAAACTACGCCTTTGCATGCTGTTTATCCATATCCATCTCCTTCTCCTTCCCCTCCCACCTTTCCCTCACCCTCCTCCTCACCCCACCATTCACCCCTCTCCCCCAAATCTCCTCCTTGACTCCCGTACCAGCAGCAGCAGCAGCAACATCGTCCCCATCCCCCTCACCACCCTTACCATCCTTACCACCACCCCCAACCTCCTCCCTCCCCACCACAACCTTCACCTCCCGCACCCGCCGTTCCCTCCCCCTCGCCACGCGCACCTTCCGGAGGTAAATCGCATAAATCCCCGCCTCGACCGCGCCCACCCCCAGCGCCGCTCCCATCGCCGCCAACACCTTGCCCCCGGCCCCGATCCCACTACTGGCAGCCGGGGCCCAAACATGCAGGGCCCAGAACACACTGAACCCGGTGATCAACACCGACAGGAAGACATTCAGGACCAGCGAGGGGGTGATCGTCTCTTTCTCCGGTGGGGCATGTTTCTCGTGTAATGCAGAGAGGAGGGGCGTGCTGGATGTGAAGATCGGGTTGATGGGTCCGGGTGTGGAGGAGAAGGACGGATGAAGGGGGTGGGGGTTGGCGCCGGTCATGCGGTTGTAGGCGTCTGCTTCGGCGGCGGCGAGGAGGCGCGCTTTGTGGGCGAGGTATTCTTTTGTCTGGTTGCGGTGGGTGTTAGTTTTGAGGGAAAGAGTAGAAAGGGGGGGGAACTCACCGGCTCAGGTTTGGGCGGCGGCGGAGGGACGTGGACCTTCGAGCCGCGGAGGAGGGTGTTCAGGGTTCGGTTGCGCCGGGGGTCGGATTCTGGGTGGGCGTTTGCATTCGAGGAAGCATCTTGAGAAGCAGGGGGCGGATTCGTCCGGAAGTATCTTGCTACTTGGATCAACTGGGCGTGGGAGATGGGGTCGGCGAGCTGGAGCGCGGAGGGGAGGGCGAGGGTGTGGCGGGCGGAGGCGGGGATGGCCTCGTAGGCGGCGAGGATGGGCTCGGTGGTGGTTAGATTGACCATTTTGGTTTTTGCAGTGATTCAGTAGTAATGCATGGTGGTGCTTGCTTGAGGTGTGTCAGAGGGGAGAGGGGAGGATGTTGGTTCATGAGGCTGCGATTGTTGTTTAGAGGAAGATGTGTAGTTCCGCCGCAGCTCCGCATAGTTACTCATCCATGATAAGTTAGTTAAGTTAGCTTAACAACCGGCAGAAACCAAACCAGGGCCACCATTCCCAAACAAGCAACCACCTTCCTCTCCCGCCGAGTCCGATTCCCTCCCCCCACTTTAACCTAACTTATCCGCAGCTTCATCGTTTCCATCTGGATCCTCCCCTCATTCTCTTACCAACAATCCCCAATCCCCAACCCCCCCCCCCCCCCCCGACTCCCAAACCAAAATGACAGACTCAAAACCCGCGTACGCCTCCCCTCATCCCCCCAAACCCTCACTCCCAAAAACTAACCTCCCCCCCCCAAAAAACAGCCCCCCAACAAACCCCCGCGGCATCCCCGCAGCCCCCTTCATCGACAACGTCACCGACTACGTCTCGAGCCGCAGCGAAGTCGAACCCACCCTGCGCTCCTTCCAGGAGATGATCTCCAAGTACCAATTCATGGAGGTCAACACGACGAAGCGGGCGGCGGGGCTGCGCGACAAGATCCCGGACATCACGAAGACGCTCGAGATGGTGCGGTTCCTGTCGGCGCGGCGCGCGAACGCGAACGACACCCCGCTCGAGACCAACTTCGAGCTCAACGATACCCTCTACGCCCGCGCCACCGTCGCCCCCGCCGACGCCGAGGAGGTCTACCTCTGGCTCGGCGCGAATGTCATGCTCGCGTACCCGATCGACGAGGCGATGGCGATGCTGGCGGAGAAGTTGGCGGTCGCGGAGACGTCCCTCCAGAACTGCGAGGAGGATTTGGAGTTTTTGAGGGAGCAGATTACGGTTCGTCTTTCTTCCGGGTATCCTCTTCGTAATGGGGGAGGGGTGATGAGAAAATGCTAACTTCTTGCTTCTTGGTAGACGCTGGAAGTCGCGACGGCGAGAGTGTATAACTGGGATGTGGTGCAACGGCGGAAAGAAAAGGCCGAGGGGAAGGGGGAGGAGGAGGAGAAGCAATAAAGAACAACAATTTCGGGCTCGGTTTGGTTTTTCTCATCGCTGGCGTCTTGATATCATTGCAATGTATAACGTCTTCTGTCAACCACAAGTACATTTCTTGAAGCAAAAGTGCTTAATCCATCAAAAGATACGCCCACAGTATATCAGTCTATTATTGTTCATTCTATATAACCGATGTCAGGCATATCAATTAGAGTGTATCATGGAGCAATTCCCTTCAAAGCATCATAATTCATCAAAGAACACAAAGCGAAAACATCATAAATGCTCGCACATTCAACGCTGCTTCGACCAGCTCATGCATCTTAACCCCTCGGAAAAAAACACCCCTTTAGACAAGGTCATTACTATCGATTATCCATGTCGGAATATGTAATCATCAATCATTATCAGTCGAGGGTCCGCAGCCCTCCAATATGAAACACTGTTCACTCGCGCATTCGCTTCGCAATGTCGACATCAGTGTCCTCGCCCACAAATGTCCATTCTTCAATGTCGGCCACATCGTCATCGGCCTCTTGTTCCGCAATGGTCTTGGCTGCAGGAGTCGGCGAGAATGGCGTCGACGAAACAATCGAGCGCTGGCGGACCAGATCCTTCGCGTACTCGAGATCACGGTAGATGGCCTGGATCGCAGTATCCACCCCATCTTCCTGTTCTCACATTAGCATAACCACGCAGTACATTTCTCTTCAGGGATCTTACGCTTCGAATCTGCTTGCCCAATTCACGTGCCTTCACAATCATGCGCTCGCTGTGGGTGGCCTCCCACAAGGCTCTCGAGAACACGCTCACATTCAGCCTCTTCATGCAGATACCCACTCCCAGGTCTTCGACCCGGGTGCCGAAGAAAAATTGATCGCCGAAGAATGGCTTGATGATGGTAGGCACGCCAGCACGCAAGCTAGCCCCGGTGGTTCCCGCCCCGCCGTGATGCGCGGCGGCATCGATTTGTGAGAAGAGCCAGTCGTGAGGTGCAGCCTGGATTTGGAAAATCTCCGGTGGCAGGGGAATCTCTGCTTTGGCACTCGAAGGATCGCCCAGTCGATCAGACCATCCTTTGGACAAGATACAACGCACGTCCGCCTTCTGGACCGCTTCAACGACAGTCCGAGTGAGAGCCGATGGATCCGAGACAACGATTGAGCCGAACCCAATATATACTATCTTCTTGCCATCGTCGCGAGCACGGCGAATGAATCCCATCAAGTCTGCTGGCGGAGTCCAGTTTGTTCCCTCATTCAAGAACCAGTACCCAGTGATACGGATCCAGTCTGGATAGTCCAATGGTGGAGGTACCACAGTCGGGGAGTAATTGTAAAGGAATGGCACCTTGTTCGGTTGCATCTTGTCTAGTCCAGTCGCTTTAAGACCTAATTCGTTCTTTCTCCATCGGTTCACCTGCCCTGCGATCGCCTTCCAAAAGACATTGTCAAACATCACATACGTTATGTAGTTGTAGGCTCCGCCCATTTTGTACTCCGGAACGGCAAAGGCGTGTGGATACGCCCGTGTCCGGGTCCAGGGCATCGTGAAGGCACGGAAGTATGGAATCCGAAGGGCCTCGGCGATATGGATGCCAGCCATCGCGCTCGGCGACTCAATGAGCAGGTCACTGTCCTGGCAGGCCTTCCAGGCAGAAGACAACAGATCGTCAATCCAACCCCTGAACTTCATTGAAGCCTCCTTAAGGAAAGAATATGTGAACATTCCATTCTCCACGCAGATCCGCATCAATTCCGCGGGGTCGCCCTCCACAGGGGCAAACTCGATGCCGTGCTTTCTCACCCAGGGCCCAAACTCTGCATGAGTTGCGATCCTAGGCCGGTGACCTTCAGCAAGGAGGCCCTTGCACAAGGCAATGTATGGCTGGACATCACCACGTGAACCGATCGTCAGACAAGTGATTCTTAGGGACTCGGTGGGTTTGAAGTTGATGATGGAGGCGCGTGGGTCATCAAAGATTGGATGAAGTTCAGAAGACTCCACGAGCGCGGAGCGGGAGCTTTGCAACACAGACGCGTCCAGTCTTGCTTCTTGAAGCATACGGTGCTCTGCCTTTGCTGCTTCCGACTCAACCTTCTCGTCTTCTTCCCCGAGCAGCCCAGACTCCGCCAGAAATCTCACCGTCTCAAGACCTTGGTGCAGTGTCACGGCGCAATCATCCCGGATATCGGAGGCACTGAACTCGAAAAACAGCTCTTCATGGCCCCGAATCACGACCACGAGGCCATGGTAGCCAAATCGGAACCCTTTCTCCTTATCGACATTTTCAATGTCCTTCAAAGGAAGAATCATCTTAGTGCGAGTCCCCGGCAGAAGACTGCGAAAGCACAGCTTCTTCTGACTAATATAGATCTTGCCGTAGAGTGGCAGCACTCGATGTAGATATGCAAAGTAGGTCGCTTGGAGCTTTTCGGTGTGGGGTAGCGCAAAGTGCGCCCGAAACCGGTCACCATCCTTGCATCCTCCCTCCTTGTCTTCAGGATCGACGGCTTGATCGTCGGCAAGTATCCCCTCGGCTTCTCCGTAATGCTTCCGGCCACCAGCCCACATCCCGGACACCTTTTCTATGTAGCCCATGGATTCACTAGCAAGGATGTTGCTCATCTGCTTCGACCGTGTTTTCAGATACTCCGCAAACCCTGCAGCGCGCTGCAGAGGATATGTTCCCGCACGTACGATGTCATTCAGAGCGTGCGCCGAGGGCTGTACTCGGGAAGAGCCTTGAGTCTCCTGGTCAAAGTCACCCTGAGTATACTGAATTTCTTGCTCTCTGGTAAATGCAGGCCCCGCAGTATCATTGCCGTAGGCATGCATCGATCGAGTTGTCTCGTCAGAATATCGCCGTGGGGTTCGGCTAGTTGCGGAAGGACCTCTTCGTAAGCTTTGAATCGTAGGAGAGTGGAAGACGTCGCTTCTGTTCAGGATCTGGCTGGCCGATTCTGTTGTGTCTGTCATTGACTGCAAGAGGGCAGAAGACTCGGTGGTGTGCTCCAGGGCATGACCAAACGACGTCGATGAGTCCTGCTGTCTCGTCGAAGGAGAAATAGTCATTGGATCATTGCCAAAGACAACCTGACCCGTGCTTGCACTTCTCCGTCGCTGCATGCTAGCATTCGCAACACCTCGAGCTTGACTTGTACCACTGGTAATTGACCACCTATTTTGCGCCACCCGGGAACGACGGGAGCGAGTCAAATGATTGGGTTGAGGTGATAGAGCCTGCTGTGACCGTTTCATCGGGGAATTATCAACAAGCCCTCTCAGATAGTTGAAGGCATCTTGGCCGGAATCGAAAAAGGAGAAATAGTACTGCGTGACTCAAATTAGTGGGTGCCATCTGAGCATTGGGGTCAATGGAAGTACCTCGTCAATCGCATATGTTTCCTCACTCTCGACAATACGAATCTTGAAGGTCTCCGCAAAGTCGACCATCGGACTTTCCTCTATGTCTATAATGCTCTCAATCGGAAAGGAGATCTTCACACTGTCGCCTTCATTATGAGTCCGGAAGATGACCTTTTGTAGAGCCTTGACCCATTCCTTGGCACTCGCGGAGCTGTCTGCTCTGAAGTAGTAGGTTCGCTGATCGGTCGTGACCTGGAAATCCCTCGTCTCTCGGCTCTTGTCCTTTGCTTCTGCCAAGGATGCAGAGATCCCATAGCGGAGATCGACGTGGCCGCTGGGAAAGTACAGATTCGAGGGGTCTGCATAGTATGATAGCACATCGCCTTTCAACGAGAACCAGTAGCGATTGTATTTAGGGTTCTTACGACCCCGTTTGTAGAGAAACCCGGATTTGATAGCCGCGGTCGATTTCTTGGGTAAGTAGGCATAGAAGCAGATGTGGCCTTCCGTGACATACATGTATCCCTGAAGCAGCATACTCTGTAAGAGCGAGCACGCATACTCGACAACCACCTTCTCCGGGGCCTCGAACCCAAACATCTCTTTGAGTCGAATGGAGAGGGAGGCCCCCGACGACTGCTTGTGCTCTTTGTCCCTCTCTTCGTCCGTTCGCTCCGAGGAGCTTTCGGAGGACTCTTTCGCATCCAAAGCGGCTTGTGCTTCGACCATGCGACTGAGAACAGGGGCCGCCCGCGGCGTAGCACTGCGTGGTCGTCTGGGGGTCGAGGCCCGAGACATCTCATCGTCCGTGGGAGGTTCTGAGTGTATAGTGGGCTCTCGCTCTTTGCCTCGCTTGGCTGTTGACATGAATGATCGCAGAAGCTTATTCTCAGACAAGACCCTCTGGTGACGACGCCCTCTATCTTGCGTTGGGCCTGTGGGTTTGGGAGACCGGCGACTACCGGGCCCGACCTTGTTGGGCGACGCCGAAGTTGATGTGACGTCTTCATGCTCCTTTGGGGTGCGGTCTTCATTCTCCCCATCGCTGTCGCTTGATTCGTCGAATCGTGCATGGAAGTCCGATCTGGAGCCGACGGCGGCGATCATGGAGAATATGGATTGTTGCATGTACTGCATGTGACCGTCGCGAGCTGTGACGCCAGCTGGGGGCGCAGAGAAGTCGGCCTGAGCATCGTGGTCGTCTTTGAGTCGTTCCGGGAAAGCACCGGCAAAGATGCGGCTGGAAGAGATCGACTGCTTGCTTGCGCTGAGCCTCCGGTCCACTCGCCGTTTAGTATCGTCGATAAAGGGTCGCATGGCTGTGAGGGTTGAAAGGAAGTGTGGGAGAAAACGAGTGGACTCTGAGATGAACAGTCACAGAAAATATGAGCTTGATGCAGACGCTGACAATATTTGTGCGGATGATGGTGATGAGGAACGTGATCGGGCCTTCAGGATCAAAGGAGTCAGTAGGTTCGAGTCACGTTAGAAGGTCAAGGGAGTGCACAGCTATCTTGAAGCATGTGACCCGTTATGTGAAAGGAGTAGAGCTAACGATCACACAGAGCGAAAGCTTCACTTTTCGATGGTGAACAAAAAACAAGTGTATGAGTAGAAAGTCAAAATGAACGCACCGGACGTGTGCTAGAAACACTGTCTGATAAGGCAGGTTGACAGATAGCTATGGAGGAAGTGCCGGAACCAACAAGACTGGTCAAGCCGTCAAGGCAGCAGAGACGGAAGTTGATAAATCATGGTTAAAAGGAGGGACTGGGATGTTGGGGAGATTGTGGGAAGGGGGGAGCTTCTGGAATGTAAGGATAAAGAGTGAAAGAAGAAATAGGCGGTCGAGCAGGAACAGCCGCAGTAGCAGATTGACTTGTGTGATGCAAAGAAGCAAGCAAGCAATAGATAAGTCAACTACGGAGTAGTTAGTGAGAGGTAGTTAGTAGGGGATCCGGGGGTCGGAGAAGACTCCACTGGCGTCATGTCTGGCTCCAGTTTTTGTATCAGCTGGTCACTGAATCTATTGTGTCCAATTACTACTTAAGCATGTGATTTCCCCGGAGTCGGGGGTCAGTCTATACTTGCCCCTCATTGGCTTGTCTTGCCAATGTAAGCAAGTCTAATGTTACTCAGCGGTATCTGGATGGAAATGTAAATTACCTACCACATCAGCCAGCGCAAGGAGGACGAGGACCCTGGCAAACCACCACTTGGATAGTTGATACAATTCAACTTGAGCACAACCTCCTATGTGGTTATCCGAACTCATGTCCCATGGTTGTCCTGGCAGCAGCCTGGCAGGCAACTCCTATCGTCTCTATGATCCACGAGGCTCCAGTACGAGGAGTTAGTGGCTAACCTTGAAATTACGCCTAGCAGCCTTGTTCGAAACCCAAAGTCGGGGTTGATCGACACTAATTTGTTGTCGGCGGTGGGCCCAGAATAACCTCGTCTGAAAATAGAGTCCGGCCCTGAACACCCTATTGCAAATTGCGACTCAGGCGATTGTTGCATATATACAAGTAGACAGCAATCACAGAATTATCACATGCCAAACAGATCCGCAAGATTACACCTTGTCTAATAATGCCAACTTTTCGTAGAAGAAACAAAGGATAGCACCCACACCCACACCCACACACACACACACACACACACACACACACACACAACTAATTATCGCCTCAATCAAGCCGCCTTGTCCGCTTTCTTCCGCTTCTTCTCGTCTCGGCTCTTACTCGACTTCTTCTTGCTCTTCTTGTCCTCATCGGCCTCTACCGGCTCCGCTTCCTGGGACGATGTGTGCTTCTTGGACTTCTTGCGGGATACCTCGCTACTAGGCGCTCCTTCTTCCTCCGTAGGGTGGTGCTTGCGCTTCCGTTCTTCCCGCTCCTTCTCCGCCGACTTGGGGACTTTGAATGTGGGCTCTTCTTCTCCTTCGGATTCCTCGGAGCTGGACCCGATCGTCTCGGGGGGCAGCTGTCCGCTGCCGACGGGGTGAAAGCGCATCTTCAGGTTCTTCGGCTGCTTGCGCGGAGGCTTGACCTGCTCCTTAACGGCTGCGAGAATATCCGCCTCCGATTCGCGGGGCAGGTCCACCAGCTCTTGGATGTGGTAGCTCGGGATGTTGCTGGCGGCCGTGCTGTAGTAGGTCTTGGTCTTTTGGTCGTAAAGCTGGAGGGTCTCTCCGCCCACGCCGGGCTGCTTGATGCTCTCCACCGGGATGCCGTATTGTACGCCCTTGTATTTCAAGACCGGCTTGCCTTGCATGATCTTGGCCAACGAGACTTCTTCGACTTTCGAGAGGGGGAGGTAGTCCGGCGCGGTGATGTGGTAAACCTGCTTGCCGCGCAGGTCGGACAGGAGCGACGAGACGTTGCTCTTCGGGGCACTCTGCTGTTTCACCGACTTGAATCCGGGGGGTGCCTTGTATGGTTGAGGGGCGTGGGCCGAAGGCCTATGAAATCAGGGCGGTTAGTGCTAAAAGAGTATTCAAGTCTTCTCGCAAAGCCTACTTGGTAGAGGTTGCTGTGCTTTCGCTCTCGCTATCGCTTCCGCTCTCGCTGCTCGACTCGCCCGCCGAACTGGTCGCGGACTCAGCTGAAGATGAGTCCATCGAAACATCGTCGTCGGAGACGGGGGCTCTCTCTTCTGACTTAAATGCCATGGTGCCTCTCGAGGATATCTGTGGTATGCGAGTGCTGAAAGTTGAAGTGGCCGCCGCTACGTACGAAGCGGGAACGCCAAGCAGTTATGCGCTACCCTGTGACCACTGTTGCAGATCGAATTGAAGCGAGCAGAAGAAGAAGTGCGTAAGAGATGAGAGTGCGTTCGGAATTAGCGCAATCACACTGGGGAGACAAAATGCACGAGGCTTGAGTCTCTGCAAGTTGCGTTGCGAGGAAACCCGATCCGGACTTTTTGGACGATAACCTTTTTTTCTGCTCCGCGAAGCACGGACCACCCGAGAAAGTCCGCGGCCTCAAATATGAACCTTTTTTTGGTGGTCCCGCCGCAGACCACTCGCTCTTGCCCATTGCAGCGGTGATTCTGGGTGCTTTCAATTGCTCATTCGAGAACTATGAAGAGAAAAGCGGAGAAATCGCAAGCAGCTGGTATTTCCCCGACTTTTCCCTGTGATTGAATGGTTGCGCGGGTGTGGATTGTTACGTTACTGACTTGATTTCTGGTAGCTCCGGTCAGCGCCTTCGCGGCCCGCAAAGCTCGTCAGCAGCAAGCGCAAAGTGTAGCAGCAGCAGTCGAAAAGCCGGTCGCTACTGAGTCGGCCAGCGAGCCTCCTTCGAAGAAAGCCCGACACTCCCCGGAAGAAGCGACCGCAGCCGAGCAGGAACGTACCCAGCCGAGGCGATCTACGAGACGGAAGGATGCTGGTCCGGTCGAGAAACCGGCAGAAGAGGCGCGCAGGGTGACACGCTCGCAGAAAGACGCACGGCGACCGGCTCAGGAACAGTCCCAACCCAGCGAGAATCAACCCTCATCAGACATCGAGTCGGAGGTAGAAGTTGCCGCCGTCGAGGAAGCCAATGGTGTCGGGCTTGCGCCGCTGCAGGGAGATGGCGACGAGTAAGACCTCCCTCGCAAGCTTCCTGAACCTACGCTGATATCTATAGATTCGAGTCGCCCGCCGACACCCCTGTGCAATTGCAAGAATTTCCGCTGTCGAAGACCCGCTTGAATAAGAACAATGTGGTGTACAGCGACGAGCATAGGCTCTGCGTCCGGATCAAAGAGAAGATGGTACGACCTTACGATTCTTTATTATATATCGCCATACTTACAAAGCTTAGAGTCTTGTCTTCATCGGTCACTACGATCTCTGGATTAAGCGTGGTGTGGTTAGCCTGATGGGTGCAAAGCTGCACCCCTCCTCTCGAGTCTACAGGGTCTACGCCCCCTCGACGCATTCCTTGCCGGTGATCAAATGCGTGTCTGGAGTGGACGGGGCGGCCGAAATCGAAGTCATGTCATGCCACAGCGGCATCTATCGTCTCAGGCACCTGTCACCCTTGTACGAACGAGTCTGGAACAGCAAAAACACTGCGGCCGACACGATCACATTGAAGAACGTGTCGCCCTCGACCAAGCGCACGTTCTCAGTGGTGAGTTCGATCCCTTCATCTGTCTGATCCACGACTGATCCTCCTCCAGCTGTACACCTCTGCCGATGATGCCTTGAAGAGACATCTCCGACCCCTGCACCTCGAGAAGCAGTGGAGCTCGGCCATCAAGTCCCTGTCTCAGCGCGGTGGACGACTCCGAACCCTGATCTGTGGTCCCAAGGCTTCGGGAAAGTCCACTTTCAGCCGCTACCTACTAAACCACCTTCTCAGTCCTGCTCCGCAAACCGAGTCAAGTTATCGCAACACCGATGGCGTCGCCTTCCTCGATCTCGACCCCGGCCAGCCTGAATTCTCTCCCATGGGACAGGTGTACCTTGCCCATCTTCGCTCCCCAGTCTTTGGCCCTCCATTCTCTCACCCCTCGTTGGACGATACCCGCAACGGCACCATAATTCGAGCTCATCACATCGGCGCAAGCTCCCCCAAGGAAGACCCCGACCACTACGTCTTAGCGGCTAAGGATCTCATTGATCGTTACCGCTCTTTGCTGGCGAGCTACCCCCAGTGCCCTCTGATCATCAACTACCCCGGGTGGATTTTCGGCCTCGGACTCGAGGTGGCCACCTACCTCGTGAGCTCCCTGGGTCTTTCAGACGTGGTCTACATGAGCGAAAAGGGGCCCGCCGAGGTGATTGAGCCTCTGGGCCAGGCCGCCGCACAGGCCAAAGTGCCTCTGACGATCCTCCCATCGCAACCCACCGATTTTGTGAGCCGGTCCAGCGCGCAGCTCCGGTCCATGCAAATGCAGTCCTACTTTCACAGGACCCAGCCCAGCGACATGGAGAACCCGCTGTGGCTCGAGCAGCCGCTCTCGCACATGCAGCCCTTCCAGGTCCACTACTCCGGCCCCAACCAGGACATCCAGGGGATCATGGTCATGGGCTCGCAGATCCATCCCGACCTCCTCTCTGAAGTTCTGGATGGAAGCCTCGTCGCCGTCGTCGCCGTGGAATCTCCCAACGCGCTTCTCGGCGGCAACTCCACCCCAGAATTCACCACCATCAACACTTCAGTTCTTTCCGCCGACGCCAGCGACGCCGCCTCGGATATCAGCATGGCCGACGACGACGAAAACAACAAACGCCCCTCCAACACCCCAACCCCCGCCCCTCCAGCAAACCTCACCACCAGCATCACCCTCACCGCCCACGAATCCCTCCCCTATCTCTTCGCCGGCTCCGGCAGCTCCAACCCGCTCGACCCGCGCAAATCTCACAGCCTGGGACTCGCCCTCGTCCGCTCGATCGACCCGGCCGCCCACACCATCGACCTCGTCACCCCGATCCCCGCTACCCAGATCGAGCAGGCCCGCCAACAAGGCCACTCGCTGGTCCTCGTGCGCGGCCTCCTGGACAACCCCAACTGGGCGATCAGCGAGGAGTACTACGCGGCGCGCTCGGCGCAAAAGCGCCACCGGGACGCGCTCGAGAAGCTCGCCAAGCGGAACGGCGGCAAGGCCGTCGACAACGACGATGACGCCGCCGCCGCGGAGGCGCGCAGCCAGCAGCGGGTGGCGGAGTTGCTCAAGGATCGCGTCCGCCGGGCGAGCACCAACGTGCCCTGGATGACGGTGATCGAGGATCCGCGGAGTCGGCAGGCGGAGGGCGGCGCAGCGGGCACGCCGCGGGAGAAGGGACTGTGGAAGTTGCGGAAGAAGGCGTATGCGGGGAGTGGGAGTGAGGGGGAGGGGGAGTGGTAGGGAGGGTAGTAGCTGTTGTCTAAACATGGGAATTCCTGGCTCTGCCGATATTTCTGCAAGATGTATATATAGATGGATTCTTGGATTGGTGTTGACATAGATAAAAAAGGTGGTACGCTGGGTTTTGACTTGAGTGTATAGATCAATTGTTCGAAAGGATTGGTATATATCTAATATCACCTAACAAACTTTTGGTGTCAGTGCTTGCTATCCAGATCGGAGACAATGCTAATGCACGGACAATCTGGTACCTATGTAGTCTCGACCTCAGCGCATCTTGGTCGTCGATATGGCACGCGCCTTCAAGAGAAGACGCGGTCTCATCGGTATCTGGGATCGGTGGAAACACGGACCCAAGACGGGAGGGGGGGGGGGGGGGCTGGGTACCTATCCTTTGGGCAAATGGTGAGTCGATAAAAGTAAGCTGAAGGGACAAAACTGAGTGTGAAATGAATGACGAATGCAACCAAAAGGGTAAGAGAAAAATGAAAGTAAGATGGAGGGAAGGCTCTCTCATGCACATGACCCAAGCCCAACCAACCCAAAGACTCACTCACGCCCACAAAGGCCCCAAGGGCCTCAGACGCCTCAGCAATGCCCGTAAGCAAACCCACCGCCCGCCGCACCTTGTAAAATGGTGCATATTCGTATAGATCCCATGGCCCCTCACTCTTGTGGAATACTAGGATATGTCGACACTATGATATAGTGAAATGCTCACCGATAGCAACGCATCAATCCCTATACTAGACATGCCAGGGCTCCTCCACATTATCTACCTAATTCCCACGGCCCTTCTTTTACCTTTACCAGCCCAAAGAGTCTGCTCTGCGAAGAGCATCGAACTACCCACCTTTCTTGATCGATAGATAACAACCCCCGCAATCAGGGTGCTCCACAGACACCGATCACATGGGGATCATCGAGACAACATGGACTGACTTATGGACTGTACTACATACATAGTCGGGGCTGTTGCTAACGATGTAAGAGTAATTGCAGTCGTCGGCTAGATATCTAATCGGTCATGACTCAGGTACGACGCCAATGGGCGCCCTGCGCCTGTCAGATTGGAGCTTATCTCGGACATTTTGATAACTGTCTTGATATAGACACAGACCGACAGAAAAGGTGCATTAAACTCCGAGCATTGCGGGTCCTTTCAGCCACACCGCCATCTCCGGTTTCTACACATAGATCTGTAGGCATACAGTATGTCTTTCGGGACTCGATGGAATCGATAAGCAAATACACAGAAGTTTTACTTCGATCTGATAGTACAATCGTGATTAAGTTCCATAATACCCCTTAAAACCATAACCATAAGTTACATACATGCATGCATGCCAAATGTCTCACAAGTGCATCCTTCGTTGCCTCGTACTGACATTCAATCATGGATTCATGAACCACATAATCCCCTCTTCTCGAAATTAGTATCATAATAAGACAATCCCCACCACAATGGCGCGGGAAGAAGAAGTGAAGCAAAACAGAGGCCGCTTGTCTAAGGACATGCTGAAAACTAACTGAAGCAAACCCGGGAATGTGCCCAAACTCCATCTCAATCTTAAAGGCGCCGTAGTCTATGTGGAATCCCGTAATAAGTCCGCAAACGAAAAGGGGGAAAAAAAAAGATCCGAACACCGTTAAAATCAGTCAAAGTGTCCGAAATGAGGATCACGTGGGATAGCAAAGCGTGGTAGCTAGTGTGATAAAACATCACGGGGATTGATATGTTGTGGATCGGTTGATTGTAAATTGGGGATCCACTTG